ATCGGGAGAGGGACAATCGGGTGACTGAGGGGTGGAGTTGCTGAATCGGAACAGGGTGGAGTTGCTGAATCGGGACAGGGTGGAGTTGCTGAATCGGGACAGGGTGGAGTTGCTGAATCGGGACAGGGTGGAGTTGCTGAATCGGGACAGGGTGGAGTTGCTGAATCGGGACAGGGTGGAGTTGCTGAATCGGGACAGGGTGGAGTTGCTGAATCGGGACAGGGTGGAGTTGCTGAATCGGGACAGGGTGGAGTTGCTGAATCGGGACAGGGTGGAGTTGCTGAATCGGGAGTTGCTGAGGGTGGAGTTGCTGAATCGGGACAGGGAGGGACAGGGTGGAGTTGCTGAATCGGGACAGGGTGGAGTTGCTGAATCGGGACAGGGTGGAGTTGCTGAATCGGGACAGGAGTTTCTGAATCCTTGGAGTTTCTGAATCGGAGTTGCTGAATCGGAGTTGCTGAATCGGGTAAAGTTTCTGAATCGTAATTTATTCCTGCGGGGATGGTCATGACATGGATGGGATGGCATCCAATGGAGTCACCAAAGTTGCTGACTTTAGATATCCCCCTTCAAATCATATCAAATCATATCAAATCAGTAACTCCCTTTAAAATATCCCCCTTCTAATACCATGATTTGGTTGGTGATATCCCCCATCAAATCAAAAGTCAGCACTGAAAAGTGCGGTTTTCATGGAAATATCACCAACCAAATCATGGTATTCATTAGTTTCTGACCATGCTTCTGACGGTGAAACTACCATCCGCTCCAGGTGTGCCTGCAGCATAGAGAAAATCAAGTTGTGGACCATCACCAGGAGGTCAATGACTTCAATGAACCCAAAAACTTGAAAAACAACATGCAAAACTCGCACAATTATAAATATTTTGTTACGTCTATATATATATATATTATGTATATATAATCTAGTATATATAATATCATAAAATGAAATATAATATAATATAATACCATATAATAAAATATAATATAATAGAATATGATATAGTATAATATAATATTATATAGTATAATGTAATATAATATAGTATAATATAATATAATATAATCCAATATAATATATTAATAAAAAAAAAACATAATATAGTGTATTTAAATATATGTGTATATATATATAATAATAATATAACATAATATAATATAATACTGTATAATATAATATGATATAATTATGTTATATAATTTATGTAATATATCTAATATAATATAATATTTAATAAGATATATAATACAATACAATATAATATAATATAATATAATATATAATATAATATATAGTCTAATAAAATATAATATATAATATATAATATATAATATAATATATAATATATAATATAATATATAATATAATATAATATATAATATAATATATAATATAATATATAACAAAATATATAATATAATATATAATAAAATATATAATATAATATATAATAAAATATATAATAAAATATAATATATATATATAATATATAATATAATATATAATATAATATATAATAAAATATATAATATAATATATAATAAAATATATAATAAAATATAATATATATATAATATATAATATAATATATAAGATAATATAATATACAATATGATATATACGAAAATATATATATAATATAATATAATATATAATATAATATATAATAAAAATATATAATATAATATATAATAAAATATATAATATAATATATAATAAAATATATAATATAATATATAATAAAATATAATATATATAATATATAATATAATATATAATATAATATATAATAAAATATAATATATATATAATATATAATAAAATATAATATATATAATATATATAATATAATATATAATAAAATATAATATATATAATATATAATAAAATATAATATATATAATATATAATAAAATATAATATATATATAATATATAATATATATAATATATATATAATATAATATATAATAAAATATAATATATATAATATATAATAAAATATTATATATATAATATAATATAATATATAATCTAATATATATTCATATATAATAAATCACTAAATCATAGAATGATAGAAAATGATAGAATTGAAGACCACGTAATACATCTTCTGCATGATCTCAGATCTCCCCGCTTTCCCGGTTCACCTCGTGGAGCAGCCCATCGCGCCGTTCCGGGGGAGGACCTCAGGGCCCACTCTGGTGGATTTAAGCAATCAAGGGTTGGGCCTTAGCTACAGCAAACCCCCAACAAAAAGGTGAAAAAATGTTGGTGAAATGCGGTGAAATCATACTAAAGCCATCTCAAAAAACGGGATTTTCATTACGTTTCTATCTTTTTGGTCACTTCAAGTTACTGAATGTAACAAAACCAACTTAACCGTACTAGATCAATGATAGTGTTCATTGGGTCTTAGCCATCAAAGGTTGTAATTAACCCCGTTGCTTCGGACTTGTAAACTTACAACTGTAAGTCTGTCATTCTTAACTAATCAGTCATTTGAATTTAAAAATGTATACATTACTTCACAAAATAAAGTAACTTGGACGTCTAAAACACACCACTCAAACATGGTTTTGGGATTCGTACCCAAACCCAAGGGCTCCAAAACATGATCTGGGGCTTTTAGCCCAGTGGAACTCACAATAGATTCAAAAAAAGAAAAACAAAAAAAATGCCTTTTCTAGTATTCAAACATCCCAAAATGCAGTTTCGGCCATTTTTTTCGCTTTGAGCCACTATGTCAACACCAAATTAATTCACCCTGATGGGTTACCCCCAAAAAAAAACGTGATAAATTATCATAAATCACTGAAATTGGTACCCCCCTATGGCCCCCTGTGAATAGACTAGGGGTTAACAAAATCCTTGGTAATACCCCCGCCTTGTGGCGAGGCCATGGCAGGCACAAAGGATGGACTAACCAAAAGGAAAAGAATGGCTAAGGCATTTTGATATCACATAGTTTGGTAAAAATTGATTTAAAAAATCATAGCAATGGTGTTTCTAACTGAGTAAACTGAGTAAACTTGGTAAAATTCATTTTCTATCGTTGATGTTCGTTGTTTAATGTTCCAGTCATTCGTTTTTGCCGCAAAATGCACAGCCTGAGGGGCCTGGGTCGGTGGTTGAGCCATGCAAAGTATGTCCATCATCATCCCGGGTAGACTCAGTAGACCAGAAAATACGAGACATCTATACATATATGTAGTATATATATATATATGTCGTGTGTATATATATATATATGTATGTATGTATGTATGTATGTATGTAACATATATGTGTATATATATAATGTGGAACCACAACCCAAATGGAAATATCCATAACATTCCTGGTCACATGGGCTACCAATCAAAATCCTGAGACGACGGACCTCTGTGACTTGGTGATGAAAAGGAGTCAGCACCAGAAGTTTGGCCAAACTGAAAGGACGCAGCTACAAGGGGCTCACAAAAGCTTTGGAAGTTTCAACCTCAAAAGGCTTGAACATCATCGGGACCCAGGATTTGGGTCAAACTTGAGGTACGACCGCTGATCCACGAATTTCAGAATCTGAAGCATATATAAATCATCCGTTGTTGGGGTTTCGATAATTTGAACCAAACCCATCTCTACCCCAAGTTTAATCTGAACCAAGCCCAGTTTTGATCGCCTGAAAAAAAGTGGTCCTGTATACGACATGCAGACATTATGCCTGATGACCATTTAATATTTAAGTACCCACGGTATCGCAGCGGTTGGTCAAGCCACAAATTCCTAAATGCTGTTACGTTCTCCGTCCCAGGCCCCCAACACCCTTTTGTGCATGGCCTCAGCCTTATGTGTTGCAGCTCACGGCCGCATAAGTGAGACACAACGGTGGACACCACTGCAGACAGAGGCAGATGGCCCTGGGTGTGTCTTTTTATGGGTCCCCCGAAAAGTTCCGGTTGTTCATGGTGAAGTTGATGATTGACCAGTGGAATTGGAATTGGAGTAGTATACCGGTATACCCTACTTCGTTTGGACAAACTGATGAACCCAAATAGAAGTTGTTTTGTTCATAGCTGATCTGGTTGGTGGTTTCAACCCCTCTGAAAAATATGAAAGTCAGTTGGAATTATTATTCCTAATATGGAAAAATAATCTAAATGTTCCAAACCACCAACCAGTGATGTTGGATAGAAGAAACAAACAAGCTCTTCACCTGCACCAAGGTCTACCCAGTTTTATTTGTCAGCCGACTGTCTTAGCTCCATGGATTTTGCCTGTGACTTACAGGAATAATCAACAAATGGTTGGGTATATAGTAGTCTAATATAGTCTAATTATATAAGATTGTATAAGTACAAGACGTTTGGATTGATCTCAGGATTACTGCTATCTGATCTTGTGATGCATTTCTAACCATTTTCCGTCTTTCGCAGTCGTCCAACCTTGGTGTTCCACCATGTGTTCGACGTTCAGCTGCCATCCCCGAGACCATCTTGGCTGATCATGGCCACTTTTCAATAACTCACCACTTGGGGTTGTCCAAAGATGGATCAGATGTAGCCTCTGGTTATTTAACATAGCCATGGAAAATGAACCATTTATCGATGGTTTACCTATTAAAAATAGTGATTTTCTATAGCTATGTTAAATAAGCAGAGGGTAGCCCCCAACTTCTGGCCAAAAGCCATCAATTCGGGGATGCTTGGGGGATCCCCGAGGTGCCCAAATCCTCCAAGACGGCCTTTTTTTGGGCTGATCCACCAGGCAGCCCCCAGGCGGGGTGTAAAACGTCCCCAGCAATGGAACGGCCCACAGCCAACTGAAGCCTTCACGGACTGAAAACCCCGACAAGACGGCCATTCAGCAGCTACAGTTAAGTTTCTGAATGGTTCATTTTGCAAACAATCTAGGTAAATTATAATATTTCACTAACCTGAATTAAGGCCATTTGGGGATGATTCCCTTACTAACCATGATTCCAGTGAGGTCGCAATGAGGTCGTTATAATTTACCCAGAAACAATCAACTGTTTTCTCAGCCGCTTTTTTTGGTCAAGGATTCAGGCCGCCACGGGAGCCACAGGCGTGGTGAAGTTTCCTTCAGCGATCTCTTGCGCCGCAGCCACCGCCTCGGTTGCACAGCGGTTGCCCCATGGTCGTCCCAAAAAAAAAACGGGTTGGGTAAGAATGGATTTCCCAAGATATTACAAGCTATATTGGTTGGAAATCCTACTAACAACGGATTATATGAATTGGATTTATTGGATGATCATGGCTATACTATATGGATTATAAATTGGATAATCCGTTCACCAATAGTGGGGGATTATCAATGGAAATCCCCCACTATTGGATAATCCTTGGGGATTATCATGGATTAATGATAGTTGGGTTATATCGTGGGAGTCCATGATCATCCCCTGTATATGCGGGGTATGAAGTCATCAACCAACAGTGATTTTGAACACTGCTCCATTGTTGATGCCATTCAAAATCAAATCCGGGCACATTTCAGCTGCTGACTGCACCAGGTACCCAAGAACTGGTCGACTATTAGAGGCTTTATTTATGTCTGCGAAAAAAATCTCAGAAGAAAGGCCGGTGGTGTGTCCATCTTTGGCACTTACCCTCTGGTTATTTAACATAGCCATTGAAAATGGCCCATTTATAGTTGTTTTACCTATTAAAAATGGTGATTTTCCATGGCTATGTTGAATAACCAACCACATGGTAAATGGGCCAGTGATGAAATGAGGATTGATAGAATATGATAGAATAATATGGTATGGGAGAACATTTGAACACACTATCATTGTGATAGTCAAGAGTGGATGCGGACCAACCCCTGGGTTTCAGCCAATTTTCACAGGCAGGATTTTATCTGAAGATCTGCACCTGGATAGATGATGAGCAACCTCTTGCTTCACCATAAGCCAATTTACTGATCAAAAACAACCAAGGTGGAACTCCACAAAATCCTGGAAAATGCCATGTCCCACGTCTGGAGTTTGGAGCAATGTAGAGCATGTGATTCAATGAAATGCGTGTGGAATTAAGATAATTAAGTAAGCTTGTCCCATGTTTTTTTGTTTTTTTTGGGTAGCCACACAACTATCATCTTCCAATGTGTCAAGCCTCACATCTTTGCTCAGAGTTTCGCCCATTGGTGCACGAGTGGCAGCTCTCCAGAAGGTGGTTGGGTCCAGAAACTCGTGGCACTTGAAGTCTTTGACCTTGACTGACATCACTATTTCTATGGTGGTTTATGACACTTGGAAGATCATAGTTATCAATCCTGGGGAAATCACGCACAAAAAGCTGTACCTGGGTGGAAGCTGTTTTACTTCGATTCGGAAAAACCTGTTGCACCCCAAATGTCCGGGGGCCCACCAGAAACGCCACCCGGGGTCAGGATGAAATCCCAAAAGGGCCCAAAAAAAGTCTCCAGCGCGACAAAACAAGTAGAGCTACGTCCCAAGAGCAGTATCAGAGAGTCAGGGCCCTTTTATAGTGAGCAGGACAGGCAAAGAAGGGAATGTTCTGATCTACTGGTTTTTCTTGGACTGTACCAATTGGTGTGTGCTTGATAACCAATTGGTGTGTGCTTCATAACCATTGATACACCATGATACACCCCAGTGAATTATGAGTTACTAACCACGAGGATGCACATCTAGTTGCTTATTACCATACAAAACATTGTAATTGTTGATGTAGAGGGGGCCCATTTCTTCAGGATTAAATGATTAAATATAATCAGGAATGGAAATTAAAAACCTAGATAACTTGATGCTTTGACCTATAAAACTTGGGGATGAAAAACACCTATTAAACACGGAATGGTCATCCAACCCACATCAGTTTCGCCCAAAAAATTCTCCGAAAACCGTCCATTTCATCCTGGTGTTCCGTGTGGAAACTTCGACTTCGGAAAGGATTGACTACGACTTTAGTCTTGAAACATCATTAGGATTGACTACTTAACAACTAATTTTGTTGTTATAGTTCTACTTTTTTTTCATTGACTACTTGTTCGGTTTGTCTGAAACTGGGACATAATTAATCACAATGACCTCCAAAAATGATGATTTCGATAGGAAAAATGAAGGAAAATGATCTTGATTCACCAGTGGATGGAATGACTTTTTCCCCTAGATTTTCAGACAAAAAAACATAATGGCTACCCCCAGTTATCATCCATGTTCATGGGATGTTCCATGAAATAAACCATCCAGCTATTGGGCTACCCATGGCTACCCCCTTGATGTGCCGTGCCACGCACCAAATTCCGCCTTCATTGTCCATCCGCAGCTGAATGACGTAGGGCGCCCGTGACCAGCTTGGATCCCTGCCGGTGGGATCATGAAAGAGAGCATCAACAAAAAAAACACAGTTGTTCCCAGTTTTTCCAGGTTTTTCCCGGTGTTTCCCATCAAATCTTGGGTTTTTCTCATCATTTTCCACCAATTATGGAGGGGGGTTCCGGTCTGGTAAAATTTCCACCTTAAAACTTGAAACCAATCCAAAGAAAAACATGCTCTTTCCCATCAAATATGGGGGGGTTCCGGTCTGGTAAACTTTCCATCAAAACCAATCCCTAAGAAAAGCTGCGAAGTCCGACCTCAATCCCCGCCTCCCCCGCCCCGTCTTGAAGAGTTGCACGAAGTTGCCATCGGTGCCAATCTGGGGAAAAAGAACTGACTTCGATGGAAGAAAATGGAAGAAAAAAGGTAGGTTCTTCACTTCCAAAAAATTGATTTTTTTATGTGGGTTTTATACAATGCCATCTGCACCATCCCCAAATATTCATCAACATTTTTAATAGGTGGTATTAATATAAACCATTCCCAGTCATCATCCCCCACCTTGGGATGATAAGGGACCAATATTTTGGGATGTTCGTCAACCTCAAGATGAAGCTTCATGGCACTAAAGTCGGTGTCCTTGGAAAGTTAGACTATGTCATATGAATCATTTTCGCTACTACATATGGTCCATCTCATTAAATCAGATTAAATCCAGTTATATATAGAGGAATTATAGAGGTGTCCAAAAATCCAGTATTGAAACCTATTGTTTTGGGGATTCCTCATTTTAAGAAACCTCCATCTTGCAGTAACATGCCGTAACCATCATTCAGTGCTGACTGCCATTCACCCGTCACCACCTTTCGACGAAAAGAAAGAGTCGCCGAGCGGCCATGCCGCCGATGTTCAAACGCGCCTCGAAATGGGACAGGCGCGGCTTCGTGGCAAACCACAACCCGAAAACTGAGGATTTGACAAAGGCAACAAATGGGCTGGTTGGTGGTATACCTACCCCTCTGAAAAATATGAGTCGAATATAGTCGAATGGGATTATTGTTCCCAATATATGGAAAAAACATGTTCCAGGTTTAACCATGTTTAACCTGCATGTTGAACATTGTTTGACCAATATGTGGATTTCACCAGCACTGTTGTGTCACCAGCATTTTGATTGTGATTTCACCAGAAACAATGCTACCCAAACAGAATTTCAATTTGACAACATGATATGACCCCGAAGAAGTCTGCATAAATGTTGAATACCATATGGATAGCTGGCTGGCTGGTCATGAGAACCACAAATTCCAGTTACGAGGCTACCATGGGCAATGAGGGCTTAACCATCCAACTGGCTTCGGTCAAGGCCAAAGATCCAAGATGATCAGTACCTATATATTCTTACTGGTGCGTTTTACGTCGGGTTGCTGGATGGGTTGCTGGGGGATGCTGGGATGATGACATTACACATTATTACTAGTGATGACTGGGATCATTCCCGAAAATTCCCTGCGTTTAGCACCAGTAAGTTTTGGAGTGCCTATATGGGTACCTGTCAGTTTGCGAACACATAATCAGTAGCGTCTCCTGAACGCGCAACGCTTATCTGTTGCTCTTGATAAAGCAAACGTGTTTGAACAAAGCAAGGATCTCTGATGGCCTTGTTTTTGTTGGGACGGTGGCTGCAAACACGTTCAACTAACATTCATTTTCTAACAAAATGAGACCATTCTTGCAGCACATGCTTCATCCTCCAGGCACTGGCTGTAGTTTAGAAACTATGTCTATGTCAAGGTCGCGGGTGCTGTGTACTTTGAGTCACCTCGGCAACCAAGGCGGCGGGATTTGCACGGCAGAGTTTGGCCAACAATAGCCCAATTTGGCAGGACGAGGTGAAGATCTGGAAGGTTCATCTTCAACTCACGGGCTATCCGAATCAAAGCCTCCGGCTGTCAAACGAAGGCGTTCTTCCCCAACCAAAGTCGAGCAAAAAACAGGGTGACTGCATCATCCTCCACCACAGCCTCTAGTTGTAAAACTAGGTCTCTGCCACATGTCAAATCACCAACATAGCAAATTCCCGGCTCTGGCAATGGAATGCTGCATTGTCCATAATCATTATTTAATCATTATTTCCAACAGCAACAGCACTGCCATCACTCCACAGAAGCACTGCATGACCCCGCCTGCAGAAATCTGTGTGTATAACATTCCCTCATCCAAGGCTGGGATGTTGCATCGTCCGTGTCCGTTGTCTCCAACAGCAACAGCATTGCCATCAGTCCGGAGAAGAACTGTATGAGTCACGCTAGCCGAAACCATTGCCGGAATCAAGGCTGATTTGATCCAAGATTTGATGTGTTGGTTCGCAAGGTGCAGAAACACATGATGTGGGAATAGGCCAAAATATGATGAACATTTGGTCCCAAATGAGATGACTGAGATGGTTTACTAGAGACAAACATCTAGATTTGCAGGAAAGTGGCCGGGATATCGTGGCAGCACGTCCCTCTTGGTTGATAAAGATACTGTAAACATATCCATGTGTGGCACACGTTGTTGCACCAGCAAACAGATTGAATTCCAGCCGCAAAAAACGGGGGGATTCCACCAGCAGAAGAAATTTCTGTTACCAAGCAACTGGGGACTGGGTGTGAAAATAGGCTATACCCCCCAATTTATGACTATAGCTTAATATTAATAGAAACGAATGGCGATGATTCATGAGATTTACCAATGCTTTGACAATTTGAGCGGCACCGTATTTTTGACAAAGCCAAGTAAAGATGGACAAACTATAAATCCTAAAGTTGGATTTCTTGAGTCATCCAATTGATGGTGCAGCCCTTGCGAAGATCCTCCAACTAGCCTGGCTTTGGAGACTCCCTATGTTTGGTGTAGAGTGTCGGCGTATGTTTTGAGTGTCTGTGTGCCCAGTCGACCGATCATTTCTTGGCGGCCTACCTGATATTCAATTTTGGCTGGCCGATCGCTCAGTTTTGCAGGTCACATGTGTTCCCATGTTTGTAGTTGTGCATGTTCCAAAGGGCATATTCCCATGTTTCTTTGCTTTTTACCCTCTGGTAAACTGTCACATAGCTATTGAAAATCACCATTTTTCATGGGAAAACTCACTATTTCTATGGCCATTTTCAATAGCTATTTTGACATAACCAGAGGGTATCCCCATTTTTTTCTGGGCCAATCTCCCCATATCCTGTCGCCTTTCCCCGGTGTGCCCCGGTCTGCCGAGTCACATGTGCTTGCTCGGTGCTTCTGGGTCGACTGAAGTGCCCATGCGTCACCATCTCAGTGGCGCGAAGGGATCGTGGGCATGGCTACCCTCTGGTAAACTCATAGAACTATTGGAAAATCACCATGTTTCATGGGAAAATCAACTATTTCCATTGGAAAATCACCATGTTTCATGGGAAAATCAACTATTTCCATTGGAACATCACCATGTTTCATGGGAAAATCAACTATTTCCATTGGAACATCACCATGTTTCATGGGAAAATCAACTATTTCCATTGGAACATCACCATGTTTCATGGGAAAATCAACTATTTCCATTGGAAAATCACCATGTTTCATGGGAAAATCAACTATTTCCATTGGAACATCACCATGTTTCATGGGAAAATCAACTATTTCTATGGCCATGTTCCATAGCTATGTTTGACATAACCAGGCCGGGTATCCACACAGTTTTTACAGTGAAGCAAGCCACTCAGTGCATAGTGTGCCCTCCAGGCCAAAATTCCTTGAAACCAACCCATCCACCCCTGAGGGGTGCTCCCAACGCCTCGGAACCAAGGGGAAAAATAGGGTAAATGTAAAGATAGAATGACCAAATTTCCCGAAAAGTTGCCATTTACCTATACTGCTTGTTTAATAGATTCTCAGCTCATGGTCAAGTAAATGGGGTGTCAAACGCAGCCAGTGCTCATTCATTTGATGCTTAAAATCTATGTATCTCGATTGATTAATGTCCCCATCAATATCCCCATTGATATCCCAGTAATATTCAGATGTCTTTTAGAAAACACAGAATATCTATATTTTTTCCGGAAAACCAACAACTCACACTTATATACCCCCAAAAGGTGTATAATTATACCCCTAAATCCCCTTAGATTTCCACTATATCCCAATCAAAAAAATCCACTACTTCATAATTACATTCCGACTGAATCGGTTTAAATGGTGAAAATCCCATATCCCCCCAAATACTCCTATGTTATCCCTTATTTCATGTGATTTCTGAGCCATTTTTGATTTGAAATCCCACTATATTCCTACTCCCCATTCCCTACATTTCCCTAGTATATTCACCCTAAAATCCCACCAAATCCCGATCTTCCCTTAGAATCCCCTTCAAACATCTTCAAACTGCATCCAAGCCACGTACTTCACGCGGCTACAGATGTCCGCCACCGGGCTGTTCCCTCGCTCCAAGCAAGGAATCCGCAGCATGACGTAGTTCGAGACGCAGGCCACGGCACCCTCGGCCTCACCCAGCCTGGCAGGATCCGGGAAAATCCCAGTTTTTTGGGGATGTTTTTGGGGGGAAATCCCTTGGAATTTATGAAAAATCCTTGGATTTGTTTGGGTTTTAAATAGAACTGGGATGTGTTTTGAGTTTTTTGGATCCAGGGGCAATCCTGAGAATCATCCAGCCCCTTTTTCGCACAAGTCGCCCTTGGGGTCCCCAAAATGTCTCGCCTGCCGTTATGCACGATCATCAACTTCAACATCTCTTCATCAGGCATCAACCTTGCAACATAGCAGCTGCCGGTGTCAGGAGGCTGAATTATCTTCTTTGTTCTTGCAGGCCAAATGAAGATGGACATGGTGATGCCAATGATGAAAGTTGATTTTTGTTCAATCAACCCTTCACTTCTTTACCCTTTCTCAGGCGCATTCAGGGTCGTTTGAGTCACGAAAATCAGTAGGGCTCAAAAGCGAGTTTTCACAAAAGGATCGAGCTAAATTCGATTGGACTGAAGGCCCGAAGGGCTACAGGTTGCAAGACACAAACGCCTTGGATTTCTTTCGAAAGAGAAAGATCGCCAGGCCCGAAACGAATGTTGGTGCACGTTTGGTGTATCTTCATGGAGTACAAGACATGGCTATGTGTCAAAACATGGTACCTGATGGCTGGGTGTTCATCCCTGCAAATGGAAGATGGGTAGGTATGTTTCCCCATGGCCATTTTTTCTAGGTCAAATTTTCATTTCTCAAATAATTCCTGGTAAAATCATCATGTTCAATCATGTTAGTGCTAAACCAGCATAGAGGCTCGAAAATAGGGTGCCCGCAAAAAAATACCATGGTTACCATCTGGTTATTTAACATGGCCATGGAAAATCACCATGTTTAATAGGTAAACCATCTATAAATGGGCCATGTTCCATGGCTACGTTAAATAACCAGAGGGTAATTCTCATTTTCCCCACAAAAAATGACCCCATTTCCCGGCGAAGTCACCATCACCTTCTTTCTGCCAGAGCACCGCAGCATGGCGCAGCTCATGCAAGAGATCCAGGCAATCTCCTGGCGCTGGGGATTGCACCGTGCAATAGAAGGGCTGTGGAAGATGAGGTTCCACTCAAAAATCACTATGTTCAGGGTCTATGTTAATTTACTGGAGTGTAACTGTTGCTTTGGTTGTCCTTTTCTATAGCATATGAACGACATGATCCCACAATGAGAACATGTGAAGCTCCATCGGAACCAAAAATGGTTGTTGCTCACTCCCTTTTGGTTGCTTATTCACTGAAATGTATGTGGCTTCATTCAAGTGACATTAATTTAATCATGCAGTTGCCCCTTACAATTCCCATCATTCCAACGAGGTCGCAGTGAGGTCGTTATGCCCACATCTCATCTTCATATTTCCTTTGCAGTGCCATAAGTGATGTATCGACATTATCTTATAGTTGAATAGTTAAAAGTAAAACGGTGGTTACATCTTTAGTTATATCATATATTATATCATCGTGTATATATATATATGCTATGCCTTTTCATCTTCATATGTCATACATTTCCGCAGCTCCCACCATGTCTCATCATGTTTCGTTCATCCTCGCTACAAGCCATTCGTCGCCCTGCAGCACGGACCAGGTCGCAGATCTTCATGGTGAAGTCTATGCCCACCTTTTTGTTGGCCCGGTACGTGTGGGCGTCGTCTTCTCTAAATGATCTAAATGTGTCTACCCTCTGGTAAACATACAAAAAACTATGGAAAATCACCATTTTTAATGGGTAAATCCACTATAAATGGCCATTTTCAATAGCTATGTTAAATTACCAGAGGGTACAGTACACCAAATGGTGGATCTGAATGGTGCAAAAACACCATCAAAAAACATGACATGAGTGAGAATGTGCTAGAATATCTAGTGCGAAACTACCGCTGAACTGGGGCTGACGTTGGAAGAAGCAACTTCACTGCATATGACGCTGCTTCTTAATGACATGTCAGAGGCACAAACCTGAATTCTAGTATGTCCTACTCTCCTCCAAAATGTCTGGCAAAGAATTTAGGACCCATGGCGCTGTGATTCCCTATTTGGGTTGAAAAAACCTGAAATGTCGGCTTTGAAATGGGGATGATTCACCGTATTGACCCTCACAAGAGTGGTTGGATTGGTCACATGCTAAGATCGTTATCATTTCCCTAGCTGGAGATCGAATCTCACCAACAAAACTGGGGGAGTACATTCCACTGATGGAGGTGTTCTTTTAACCACGGAACATCTGGCGAAAAAATCTGGGGGTTTCCTCCCAAATTTTGGCCGTGGAGATGGCGTGGTAAAGTCAAAGTTCAACAAAATAAATGTGATATAAATGTGATAGAAATGTGGTATTAATATAGTATAAATGTGATATGAATGTGGTATAAATGTGATATAACCGTGGTATAAATGTGGTATAAATGCGGTATAAATGTGGTAAACTTGCACAAATGTTGGCGTCCCATCATTTCTCTGTATAGCTAGGCTAATTCTGCACCTAGACGTCCTTGCTTCTGTCTACATCTAATAAAAGTGTGGTAAATCTATGTAAATCTGGAAAACTCAGAAGAAGAAGTTCCACATCTCTCGCTACCCAGACTGAGCATTCCAACGCTGTGGCCCCACTTGTGGTTGTACATGTCGTTGACGATGTCAAAGAGATACCTTTGGTTCCCAAAGTTGACCACAGTCAGAAATTGAGACACCGGTAGAAAACCATGGACATGGATATGAAATATCTAATATATGTCGCCAAAATTGGATTGTCATATATGTAATAGAAATGATCAGGTTGTGGTTCAGTTGGTGATTTTTGAACACCAAAATCGCTTTCAAAGGTCCTCTGGGAACACCTACTTGGGAAGATCTACTACATCAGTATCCAACACACAGGTTCAAAACTAAGGATCGCGCCCGTGTTTCTCCTTAAACAGACCCTTTGACAGTTGATGTCTTTGCAACTCAAAATGGGTTTTAAGTCCTAAGAATGTTTCGACAATTTGAAATGACCCTTGTTTGCATTTGTTGGTTCCATGTGAAAATTCATCGCATATGAAAGGTGTTCTATAAAAAAAAATTGGGGGTAACCCAAAAAACAACACAAAAGGGTTGACTTGATGAGTTCCATCATTGTACCTACTTCAATACTTTCTTGTTTTGTTGCTTGGTTATTTTTCAAGTTATATTGATTACTATTGATGACCCTATTTTATGATATAGGTTATTTTTGCGACTCTTGGCTGTATACCCATGTCATATCCACATGTTTCTCCCATTTCGTATGGCTAAACAACCCACATTTTTCCTGGTCGTTTCACCCATCGCCCAAGCGGCACATCGACTTGACCCTCGCGACCCGGAAGGCCCTCCAGATATCGCCACAAGCGTTGCTCCTGCACCGAAAGCACTGGATGTTCTTCGCCTCGGAAGAAGTGAGCAGATTGAGCAGTGTTGGTTTATCCCTCTATCATTATCATTCCATGAAATACTGGTTGGTTAAGAACGGGATTTCCCGTTCTTGGATTATTAGAGTCCCCAATACATAAACGGTAGTATAATCCCCGAACTAATCATCAACCAACAGGGGTTTTGAACACTGCTCAAGTGTTTTTTGCAGCGTGGCTTGGGAAGTACGGCGGGGTGGCTCATCTCGTTGATGACGCTCTGGTAATGACTAACAGTTTGCTAGTGAAGCCATGGCACATAGAAATAGTTGATTTACCTATTGAAGATGGTGATTTTCCATACCTAACTCTTAGTTTACCAGGGGGTATCCAGTAACCAGACAATATTAACCCATGGTCTTTGTTATTCCTATCAACTTGTG